CTCTCGGATGCCTGGGTCCCCTCTCCACCTGCCTACGGGACCCCCACCATCACCCTGCAGTGGGACGTGGGTAAAAGCAAGAGGCTGAAGGCAGTGCTGGGGAGGAGCGGAGCACCCCAAAAAGCCCAGCTGCCCATCCATGGAGGCGGGGACACCCTTCCCAGGGCCGGGCTGGCCGGTTCCCATGGGACCGAGACCCTCCCAGCGGCATGCAGCCACCCAGCACACTGCCACCGCTGTCCCCTGCCCGGGCCACGGCTGTCCCCGTCCCCCCGTCCCAGGTGGGGCCACCCACCCGCTCTGACTCAGAGCCAGAATATAGGCCGGGGCTCTAAAAATAACCCAGCTCCGGCACAAAGCAATTGCTTCTCCTCCGGTCGGGGGGATTCGAGGAGGAGAGAGCACCCCGAAATAGCTGCATGGCCCCTTCTCCCCCCCGCCCCATCACTGGGGGAGCATCTGAGTGGGGACCCCAAACCCAGCCAGGGTCTCCGCCAGGGAATGGCAGGGGGCCGGGCGACGATGCTGCCCCCCGCCTGGCCATGCCACCGAGACACTTCCCCTTCCTCCACTTCCCGAAACGGTCCTGGGTGCCAGGCTGGGCCCGTGGCAGAGGCAAATACCCCGCCACCATCACTGCTTCATCCCCGGGGACCCCCGGCTTGGGAGGAGCCCTGGCACCGAGGGAGCCCCAGGGACCAAGGGCAGAGGGTGGCGGCTCAGCCGCCGCACCCAGCACCCCACACCCGGATATTTCGGGCATCCCCACCCAAAATATGGGGGTGGGTCTTGGCCCGTCCCAGGCGTGGCAGTGGGTTGGCACTGGGTGCTGTGCACGGCCCCCCCCCAGCGGGTCCCAGGGCCACCCCTCCCCATCACACCGCTCCCAGGGTGGCCCCTCGCTGGTGGGGGGGGGCCAGGCCGTACCAAGGCAGGGCCCTTCGTTAGCGGGTTCGTTAGCCAGGCTCAGGCGGCCGCGCTCCTTCCCCCAGTGAAAAGGCATGGCCAAGCAGGATGCCATGCCCCATGGCTGGGGGGGTAGGGGGGCACAGACCCCCACCCCACATGCCTGTCCCCGGCACCAGCCCCCCCCAGAGGGGTGGTTTTGGGGGGTCACGCTCCCCACCCTGGGCTGCCCCTCAGCCTGGGGTACCCCCCATCCCCAGTGCTGCCCACCCCGGGGCTCCCCCCAGCTGCCCCCCACCATCCCCGGCGGTCTCACCTGGATGGGGGCCGTGCTGAACTGGATCTTGCGGTTGGGGACGGGCTCCTCTTCTTCGGACAGCCCGGGAATCTCCACGCAACCCGACTCGGGCTCATACAGCCCTTCGGCCTCCTCCTCCTCCTCCAGCCCGCTGCCCCCCGAGTCCTCCCCGAGCCCGCTGTAGGCACTTATGTCCACCAGGTCCGCCTCAGAGAAGTCCTCCTTCTTGGCCTCCTCGTAGGCATCGCCCTCCTCTGCCCGCTCGCCCTTGACGCCCTCGACGCCCTCCTCGCCCGCAGCCGCCCCCGAGCCCCCTTCCAGCCGGGGGGCAGCAGGCACCGGACCCTCGTCCCCCTTGGCCGGTTGGGGCGCAGGCACCGGTTCACCCGTCGCCGTCGCCTCCTCTTCCTCCTCCTCCTCGGCCTCACCGCTCTCCTCCACCTCCACCGGCTTGATCTTGCAGACCTCCTGCACCCGCGGGGCGGCTGTCTCCTTCTCCGCCGGCCGGGTAGTCTTCCCCGCTGTCTTCTCCTCTTCTGGTGGCCGGGCACGGGCTGGGGCAGCATGGCCATCACCCGACCGTCCAGCCTCGGGGCTCGGCAAGAACACCCGAGGTCGCTTGCCCACCACCTTGGCATTGAGCGGTCCTCCCGCTCGCCCTGGCGCCTTATGGAGGTTGTTACGGAGGTCGGCCTTCTCAAAGACAGCACTGAGCTGGCTGACGGTGGGCGAGACAGCTTCGGTGTCCAGCTTGTCCAAGGATTCGGTGCTGCCATTGAACCTCACCACCACGTCCAGCTTACGGTCCTGGAAACCGGCTCGTTCCTTACGTAGCAAGAGCTTGGTGGTGGTGGCCTTCTCCTGCGGGCTCCTCTCGAAGATCTTACGGGTCTCCTGCAGCTTGGAGAAGGGTTTGTCAGGCTTGGAGTCGAAGCGGCTGACCCTCTCCGAGACACTGGTGCCCAGCTTGAGGAGGTTGCCCTGGTCCATGCTATCGCTGAGGCTACCAGCCCGGGGCAAGGAGAGACGGACAGGCTTCTCCTTGGCCTTGGCCAGGTCGCAGGTGCCCTCGGGGCCGGGCGCCGTCCCCATCTGCAGGAACATGTTCTTGATACGGTGAACATTGGAGCCATACTTCTTACCCCGGCTTTTCTTGCCATCTTCGCCATCGGCCTCCTTTGTGGGCGCCAGGGCCTGGATGGTGGCCTCGTAGGCATTACGGTGGGGGGACGCGCTCCGGAGACCCCCGCCGCCCGTCGCCCCGCCGGAGGGGGACCCCCCACCGGCG